TGGATGTTACACTTTGGTCCCCAAATTTTGGATTTCCTTCGTTTTCACACGTTTTTCGTTCATTTCTTCGAAATCCACCAAATTGCATTGAGTTCAACCTAACAAATATAATTAACACAAAATTAAGCTATAACTCATCCAAATCACTAGCAAATACTCTAATTTAATGACCTAGATAAGTGTATGAAATACACTTATCAGGTGTCAAAAGTGGGCGAACTGTCCAGGCCCTGACCATTGAGTTTTGTTCCGGGTGTTTGGCGGCGGCTTGTGGTGAACATTGTACTATACCCTGCAGGCCAGCATGGATGGAGCTAGATATACGATATGTGAAGTTTTAAAATAATTTTTAATTCTTGTATCTCATTAACTTGTTTAATTTTTGTGATTGTGATATACATTTTGAGGAAACATTGAATTGCTTATATCGAGTTGAGTATAATTGTTTAGAGTCTAGTCAAGTATCTATTATGCTTTATTCGAGGTCGAACAGGGGTTCAAGTTTGGGGGTGGTGTTAAGTGTTAAATTTACACTTAAATAAGTCACCAAAAGTTGCTTTTGTTGGTATTATTTTGGATTTGATACTTAATTATTTGTATTTTTGGAATATTTTAGGAGAAAACTTGAGATCGGATTGATGAGGAAATTTGAATAAAACATACAATTTTGGGATCAACTTCCACGATATTAAAAATTGAAGGACTTGAATTTAATTAAAATTAAGTATGAGGAAGCAGTGGTAGAAAGCGGATAAAAGACGACCAATTAGAATTCTGATTGGTTTTGGAAAGTTGGGAAGGAATGGAGGCTAGATATGCATGCACAATGGGAGACGGGGAAAAAGGGCGAAGACGGACGACAGAGGGCAGAGTGAACTTTATTTCCAAATTTTATATTGAATATAGGAAAGATTTGTTTCCTATTTTGTATTGTATTATTATTCTACAGTGATTTTCATTCCTAGTTTACATACCTACATATTATACACATTCTCTTGTACTATAAAAGAGGTGTAACAAATCAATTCAGTCAATGAAAATTAATCTTCATTCACAAACATATTCTGCCAATTTCTAACATGGTATCAGAGCCGAAGGCTTAAGCGATCCATACCTTCACCATGGCAGATTTGGCTGCTCCTGTAGCCCTCTCCGATACTGCAAAATCCCTCACTGATGCCGCTTCTCCATACTACTTGCATTCATCAAACCAACCCAATCAACTTCTGGTCGATGCATTTCTCAACGGCGACAACTATCCTGCCTGGCGTCGAGCAATTACCCGTGCCCTAAACTCCAAGAACAAGCTGGGTTTCGTTCTTGGCACCATCAAACGACCAACAAACGATACTGCTGCAGCTCTTCTTTGGGACAGATGCTGTGACATGATAATGTCTTGGTTCCTTCACTCCATCGATCGATCTCTTACAGGCAGCCTCTTATATTGCAACACGCCACATGATTTATGGACTGAACTGGAGACCCGTTTCCAACAAAGCAATCGCACCAAAATATTCCGACTAAACGGGATTTGGCAAACCTCCACCAAGAACAACAATCTATCACCACATATTATGGAAAGCTGAAAGAATTATGGGATGAATTGGCTTCTCTACAACCAACTGTTCCTTGCACTTGTGATGCATCTAAATCCTTCTATGAAGCCCAGG